CAATAAGATATACCGGTATTAAATTTGAATTGAAAACGAAATAATGGTCACTATTTTCTTTAATATTAATTATAAAATTTATGCATTTAGTTTCAACATATAGGCTTATGGCAATCGTTTCTTTTTTTTTGGGCCTTCTGTCTTTTGAATGCTTTGCCTAGTACAATCCGACAGGCAACTTCTATTTTTAGATTTGATTTTAAGTTTTAAAGCTTTAAAAACTCACCTTTTTAAAGTATGCTTTTCTTAGATTTTTTTTCCTGGCATTTTCATTTTTAATGTTAAGCGCATAGAGGCTTCAGCATAATGCGCTATAAAGGCCTAAGCCAAAATAATAATTACTATATTCTTATTAAATATACCGTAAAACTCTGGGCTTCTTTGTTTTGTAAACTTTGGATGGGCTTCTTTTCGAAGCTACTTTTAAAAGGTGAAATGAGGTCTTGTGTTCAAAATGAATGCTGTAAATTTTGGGAATTACTATCAGTACTCTCTCCCCCCCCCCCCTTCTCTCTCTCTCTCTCTCTCTGGTCAGGTGGCGCCAAGTTGCTCTGCTGTGGCCTTTACAAGAGCAATATGTATACCAGTACTATAAAACAATAAATAGGACCAATGTAACATCAATCTGTATCATGGAGTGTATTAACCAGCATGCACCTGTATAAACAAGCGTGTTTTTATTTATTTATTTATTTATTGTTTCTTTGAAATTTATGTATGTAGTGTATGTACCGGTACCGTACCGTACTGTACTATCTCGAAAAAAGCCCATGCTATTTTGAAACGAAGCCCTTTTTTGAGATGGGCTTATTTTTTAGACTACTTTGCAAGCTAAAGAGGAGGGCTTCAATTAGACGCATTGTGCTCTATTCGAGGTGTTTGTTCTATTCCCTGACGTTTATATATTACTAATTTATATTACAATTGATCGTAGCTTTTTTTTTATCACAGAGCATGATACTCTGGTAGGCCTATCTGTGCTCTGTAATTGTAATTTTAGGTACAGGTCCATATGGGGCACAAGAGGAGCGGTGCTATAATAATTTTATATACCAAACAACTCCACAGAACATTATTCTTTGGTGAATGACCCTTTTAGGCCAGTTGTCTGAAGGTGATCTCCACCGCCAAGTGCTATTCAATTGACAAAGCTCGAATTTTCATTTTCATCTCATGTTTTTTTTAAAAATCAAATAGAACTGTATTAACATCATCATCAACATGAAAATGACGATAATGATCAAATTAACATTATCATCATAATTATAATCATTATTATTATTATTATTGTTGTTGTTGTTTTTCATTATCTTAATTATTCTGTATGTGTTTAGAATTTGATACAGGCTCTTTGTTGACGCTGATAACTTTGACATTGATGTCCTTCACAACTATGTTTCTGTACCTCGAGTCGGCCATGTACATCAACCAAAAAATTGCCAGCAGTCGACGCAGAGTTCGTTTACTATGTATCCTTGGAATCTACCCAGTAAGTAGCGATAAGGTTCGAATGATATAGTTTTCAGCAAGCCAGTTGTGCGGAAAGCCAATTTTCTCTCCTCCCGTATTATTTATATATTCTGAGTATTGCTTTACCAAACCTCCATTATAAGTTTAAGTAAGTAAATGGTTGCTAAAGTGTATGATGCAGTATTCAATGTTATTTGTCATTAGGTTCTCGTACTTAAATGAATCTACAAATTGAAGGTGGTCGAATTTGCTTTTGAAGTTAAACACTGATTTGAGTCCACAAATTCTCGCTATATTCCATGATTTAATCAATCTTTTATGGATATTATAATTGTATTGATTATTCGATGGTGTTTTTAAGTATTAAATCTTCTGACGCAAAACACCATCGAATACCATTGCAGCCTTTTGAATCAAATTGAACACGTCACTAAACACAAGCTCGTGGGTCTGTGGTTAGCGCACCAGGATAGTTTCTGGAGGTGTGAGTTCGATTCTGTTTGTATAATGGTCAACAAGTATAAGTAACATACTGAACATTCAGTACGATAACACGTACATCATTCCTATTGTTGATTGATAATATTATTTATTTTATTGTAAAGAGGGTCTCAATGATCAGCGATCTAGAGTTGCCACCATCGAGAAGTAAACTTCATTAAACTATCTGAACTACCTTATTTACTATTAAAAGCTAATTTAATTTACCGGTGGCGGATTCAGAAATTCGAAATAGAGGGAGGGTGCAGGGAGAAACTTTCACAGACGAGAGATCACCCTAGTAGATCACCTCAGCCTCACCATGTTTGGGGCTGAGTAAGAAAATGTATGATTATGGCACAGAAATGGCACCCTCAGACCTAAATTGAATTATAATTTCCCCCTTTTTTTTTCTCCTCTTTTTTTTTTTTATAATTTTGAAAAATCTAGGGAAAAGGGCTGGGGGAGGCGTCCCCTCTCCTAACCGCTTGAATCCGCCATTATTTACATTATCACAATGTGTTTTACCATCCACACACTAAAGATGGCTGCCACCCAACATATCTGACCATATGGCCAGGTCGAAAATGAATTGTATTCAGTCTCTATTAATCAAACATTGAATTGTATCTTTTCTTTAGGTGTTATCCGGTACTTCTTTGATCGCCCTTTATGCTCCTGCGGCACATTTACTGTGTAGTTTTACAGGTTCCATGTAAGTACCAACTTTCCTCCTGTACCGGGTACCGTAAATTATGGCGACGATAAAGTTCTGAAGGGTAGACTTAGCCAGTGGTGTTTCGATTTTAAAATAACTTTCTTAGTCCCCGTGGCACTCAGTAACAGTCTATAGTTAACCTGTCTCTTATACACATCTAGATGTGTATAAGAGACAGTATATAAACAGTCAGTCAATCAATCAACGCCTGTTGTTTTTACAGATGTTAATGACATGCTGATTATCACAGAAATGTTCTTCTTCTTCATAATGGCGCGAGTTTATTTTCGAACGCGGCTCGGTAACGAAGAGAGTCTGCAGCAAGTCAAGAACAAGATCAATGAAAACGTTCAGAAACAGTTTCCACATTCCTGTCCTAACTGCGGGTTCGATATTGAAAAGGATGGTTTTGGTGATGCCAGTCAGATTAAAACAATTCACACTAATGACAGCGGGATGAGTGAAATTAACAGAGAGGATAAAGAGAATCTACTTACACGTCAGCAGATGTTTGCGATTCTCAACTCCACAGACACTGTGAATGTATAAATGGCTCTCATTCCTTTCTGATCATACCAGGTCTGGCGAACAGCACAATCCAAACAATACATATTACCTGTGTTGAGTCAAATGCACTTAAAATATAGCATTACATATTTGTACTGTATTAAAATTAAATATTGCTAAAAAGATTTTAAAATACATTTGCATTTTTTCTGCAAGCCCCTATGGCATAAACCTACCTTTAATTGGTTGGTAATTAGTTTACGCCTGTAAATCAACTTAACGATCTGTCCGATTGGAAATCGATAGCAATTTGATCCTTTTAAAGGAAACATTCCATTTTCTATTATTAAAACTTAGTCTGTAATATTTTGTATGAGGTGTCCTCTGGCGGTTGAAGATGGTTGCCTTCCAATCCCAGCATCCCGAGTTGTCTTTCCTATGCTTAGGCAATTATTATCTAACACTGCGCTGTGTAATATCAACTTAATATTATTACACGCTTGCGCAAAAATGTATACACTCTTTTCAAAACCAGCTATGGTAACGTTGGTTACTCAAGTTCGGTGATGGACTTTTCAGACGAATCCAAAAACTGTCTTTCACTTTAAGATCGATCTTGATGTAACATCACAATATAACAGGGTAGACCTTCAAATCATTTCCGAAATGAAATGATTTGAATTATAATTAAGTTAATAATTATAATTAAGAAAACAAATCAGAAAACGCACAAATGTTTCTATATAGTGACTATATAATGTTATGCTATATTCCACCTTAAGCTGGTTTGGTTACTTTTTTCAATCGTACACCGATTATTAAGGATACTGTACTGTCAATTGGTGATAACCGAGCTTACGAAGTTTTGTTGGCCTTTTGTTAGCATAATTTCCTAGCCCTGAATATTCAATCGTATAAATTAATCAAAATTAAATTAATTAGTAAATTAAATCTTTTTGCTTATTACTTATCACCAATCGGCACTACTCCACTCGTCTTGCCTTTTCAGGGTCTATTTACAGCATTTTCTTTCCTAAGAGTAAAGACGGGGGTCGAAACTTGTTTAGGCTAAACTGATATGACAAGTGTCCCCACCTCGGGCTTCTCTTTTTCATCAACTGCATCAGTATCCCCACCTAGTAACATGGTTAGGACAATCGATCATGTGAGGAAACCGAAATTAATCGTATGTTGTATTGATTTTATAAACTTACCAAATAGGTAATGGGAAGTATTTTATATATATATATATATATATATATATATATATTATTATTATTATTATTATTATTATTATTATTATTATTATTATTATTATGCATAACACTTTAGTATATTGTAATAAGCAAACTGCCCGTTACCGTATCCCGTCCATGTGTAAGTTATAAAAAGCTTTGTCAATTCATCCCATCATCAAGCACCATTTAGTAGGCTGTCTCTTCGCTTTAACGAAATTAAATGTGTTAGTTTTTCGTTTCAAAGCTCCTTTACACTTTCTACATTTGTAAATAAATGTGTCCTAAATAAAGACAACCTGAATATCAGTTAACCTACTGGGCTAAACTGGAAGGGTTACCCTCTTTAAAGATGGTTGAAATAAAAAATAAAATAAAAAATTATGTGGTCCCATATTAACAAATGTCGTTTATTTTCATTATTCCAATTAGAGACCAAGGCTGCGACCATGGAAACCTAGGTCACGTGGTCTTTAATTGGAGGGAGACCTGTAAACAGAATGATCTGACAGGTCGGATGAGCAGACATGGAATTTGGCCAATCGGGATTCACCGAGGAATGGTCACAAATAAATCGAATATGTAGCCCATTTTGAAGTACAGTACTGCTATATTTTCTAAAATCCAATTTATCAACTGTTCAAAATAAGTTCAGTATAAAATATGTTGGCTAATATTAGGTTTTGATAATACTGATTGATTGAGAAACATGTATATAAAGTATATAAGGCTTACTGCTACAAGTCTCCTACTGCAACATTTATTGACATAAGCCTATATAAACTTATGGGAGCAAAAGCAACTAATTCTTCAGCAACACAGTTACTGACAATGAAGTACTACCCCTAGACAAGAGCGCCTAACAAGTAGCAAATTACTCACTGAAGAAGGGATTCCAACGCGTAGCAAGTACTCATAGTCAAGAAGGTCTGAACAAGTACACCCTTGGACATTGGGATCTAATGAGTAGCATGTAGAGGGTCAAAGGAGTAGCAAGAGGCTCTAACAGGCAGGGTCTATCGAGTGTACACAAGTAAGTACCCCACCACCTGAACAAGAGGGTCTATCGATTAGTAAATAAGTACCGGTACCCCTTGACAAGAGAGTCTAAAGTAAGTACCCCTGGCGAAGAGGGTCTAACGATTACCATAGCAAGTAAAGTACAGAAAGTTTTCAGTCATATGATATTCTTTATTGGAAAAACGGTGGAATATGTTTTACGCGGTATAGCATTCAATGCACAAGACCTAACTCAAAAATACAGTACTGACTGTACAAATAACTGGCCATAATATAAATTACTGTATATACTGTATAAACAGACTGTTTTCAATAAAAAAAAATTTCTATACATAACTTCATTATAAACTTATCGGGGTTTGATTACTTGGCGAAGACATCCGTAGTCTGTTGACTTGATATATACTTGATAAAAAAAATATCGTGGATAGTTTACTGCAAGTACTTTACCGTAGACTGTACTCTTTGAGGTTGACATAACACTTACATAACTGAACTACGGGTCTAATATTGCATTTAAAATCGTAAATCAACTACGACTTTGCGCTATCAAATTTAGTTATTCGGACAAGGCCTAATACGGTGCACTTTGCAGTAATGAGTAGTCCTAACTGAAAGATGTTTTGTCACAATGTTGCTTCAACAACACATTTGCCATTACAGTGCACGAAGAGTTTCTACAACCTTTTTATCAGAACATCTAATTGGTATGCCTAAACTTGTTTGATTACATGTTGTCCACTTTAATTCTCGATTAATATAATGTAATTTCTACGTAAGTGACACAGACACTAAGAATCACATCATGATGACATAGCTGATAAATTTGTATTGTGATAAAATTACACAATACAAATAACATCCGTTTAAATGCTCCTTCTCCCTATTGACCTTCCCACTAAACACCGCCCCTCAGATATTGGTCCTACAAAACAGCAGCATGGACGGGGACATGCACATTCTCTCCTTAATACAGTAAGGACTATAGATATTTAAATCTTTTAAAACACTGCTACAATTAGATGACCTACTCAATTATATTTACTTTTATTTAAAAATATTGCTCACTTACGAATTCTGATTTACGATAATCAATTCTTTGCCAGTGTGATAGTAAATTAATTGGTTGGCTTTCATTCATAAAAATTCTACTAAAGATCTAACAAAATGATGCACCTGGCTTCTGCATATAAAATCTTGTAAGAAAAAACGAATACAGTGCATTCTGTCCACACAGGGCTTCATCATATGATAGTCAAATCATGGACAAGTCTGATGTAGGCTTATCAAAAGCAAGATGTCCTACATTTGAGCCCTAACGTGTGAACACCAGCGTTGGATGGCGACAAACTGACAAATACCGTTCTTCAGTGCCACATTTATTCTTCAGTATGCGTTCCTATTACTTACAGTTAAAGCACAGTGTTTATTTTTATATAACTTCGGGTTTATCTGGTTCAAGTCGTGTTCTGATGTATCCTGGTTTTCTGGAATAGCAGCGCGACATGGTCAACGCAGCTACAATGAACCAAATTGAGAATGCAATCCACGACGCAATCTAACAGGTGAATAAAAATAACATTATGATTCAATGCTGTTTTTCTGTTTTTGGTAGGCTTACTGTATCATTAACAGAAGTATCAAAGTACTGTTTTGTCGTAGCATGTGCCACTTCGATTCTACCAGATTAAAAATATATGCATACAGGTCTATAAATGTCTGGCACTTGATTTAAAATGACTATTTGGATTTTAATTTAATATATTAACCACATCTTTTAATAAAGACATACCACTAACATATGATAATCTTTACCTCGGCATTGTGCAGAATATCATAGAACCTAACATATCCAGGGTTTTTGAAGATGTCACCAAGTCTTTTAGTCTGGTAATCCCTGCAACTACAATGTAATAGTTCCAATCGTTATGATTATCATACTATTAAAAAAAATTTTTTTTTTCTGGACAAACCACCATGTAGTTTAGTAGGTAGGTCCGACATTGTAAACATGGCACTAACGAAATAGACCTAGTCATAAAACAGAAAATAAACATTTGACTGATACAACATACTCATACGGTATATATACCTAGGATTGTGTGTCTATCTTACCTATCATCCTTTATTATATAACTTTAGTACTGTACTTACTTGTCACGCTTTCTTGGTGACTCATCATATATTTCATTGCACAAACTTTTCAGTCCCATTGTTATCAGGATAGAGACAACAAACAGTAAAACGGATAGAATTCCGTAGGCGAAGATACTCACTACCTGTAGGAATTTCCTGTATACGGAAACACAAAGCAAGATTTTTATATTTTTATTCGTAACAATAGGCTACATGCATTTCTTGCTGTTTAAATACACCCTGTAATTTTCCCTAATATTCACTTATTCAAGGGGGGGGGGGGGTAAAGGTAGGGGCTTATTCAAAGAGGATTTTTGATGTAAACTGAATGAGTTTCATTTCACAGGAAATGTCAAGCACAGCACAAAATTATTTTCAAAAGGTGTTGTTAGGCTGTATGAGCCCAGGTTGGCAATACAGTAATTGAATTATGAGTAAGACATTGATGATAAAATATGTGGAAAATTTTCACATCTATTTGGTGGTTACGTATACATGATGAAAGAAATTATTCCAAAATGACATACTGTACAGGTTATGTGCGAAGCGTTCGTTCGAGTGTGTGCTTATCCATGTACTGTATACGGTAGGTCTATTATGCAGAAGATATTATGAGACAAATTTCCACGTAACAAAAAAAACAAACTGAATTAAAAACCTAGAATAAATATTTTGCAATTTATTAAACCTAAAATATATTTGATTCGTTCATTAATTTAAAAAATTTTGATTTATGAGCTGACGTTTTAAATCAAACTCCTTCAAACCATTTAAAGACGTCCGATTATAACAAACAAGGAGCAAAACTTAACTTAATCTCAGCATCATACTCATCCACACACAATATCTTTAAATTTAATTATCTGTCACTAAATATAATTGGCCTAGACTGGATCAATCAATTTCATTTAAAATTAAAATATAATTTTAACATGCTTTACTGCTTGACTAATAAGAATAGTAAGTACTTTATTCTTATACAAAAATATGATAGGCACTATAGTGTGGGTATGGATTTGTACTCACGATCCTTCTCGGCCCCGAATCAGTTTATATAGCCAATAGATCGCATGGAAGGCCGCGTAAAGAAATGACGCAATGTGAACACTGATCGGAAAACGACATTTGCTCGAATGATGCACCGCAGCATTCCTTGATATTACCTGTATGTCAGCAAATAAAAGACACGAGCCATCGTTGTCATGCTAAAAACAGAGAATAATAAAATAATCACGAAGCATCCCACATTTTGACATTAAAGTTATGCGTACCTTAAGTCCCATACAGAAATATTCAAATATTTATAAACAATGATAGGCCTATTAACAGTAGGCCTAATGATGGTGATACATGATATATTTCTTTTTAACAGTAATAAAATAATTAACACAAAACAAACAAAAATTGGGTTGCCGACTTTATTTGTCGCATTGGTGTCTTAAGGCCTTCTCATATGCAATAATTTCCTTGAATAAACTCCCACTAATTGACTGTAAACAAAAATAATGAAATCAACATCATTCTCAACACATTCTATTAATGTTCTTCTACTCCAGTAGAATTAGATTTTCACCTGGCTGGAATCAGCAAATGATCCCGCAATACACATCTTGATGGTAATTACTGTATTATGTTGTAACTGTCTCTTATACACATCTCCATGTAGTTTAGTAGGTAGGTCCGACATTGTAAACACGGCACTAACGAAATAGACCTAGTCATAAAACAGAAAATAAACATTTGACTGATACAACATACTCAGACGGTATATACCTAGGATTGTGTGTCTATCTTACCTATCATCCTTTATTATATAACTTTAGTACTGTACTTACTTGTCACGTTTTCTTGGTGACTTTTCATATATTTCATTGCACAAACTTTTCAGTCCCATTGTTATCAGGATAGAGACAACAAACAGTAAAAGGGATAAAATTCCATAGGCGAAGATACTCACTACCTGTAGGAATTTCCTGTATACGGAAACACAAAGCAAGATTTTTATATTTTTTTTCGTAACAATAGGCTACATGCATTTCTTGCTGTTTAAATACACCCTGTAATTTTCCCTAATATTCACTATATCAAGGGGGGGGGGGGGGAAAGGGAGGGGTT